CCACACTGGTAAGGACAAATGAGAATGAACCTAGCACAGAAGAGTATAGATCAAAGTGACCTGCAATGAAGGATTATGCTGAAGAATGATGCTATTCCAGTCTATTTGTTTGTGGTAATACTAGGTTCTGACATTTGGTTCTAGAGGGGCACATACATACAAATGTGATTTGGTTTTTAGTTTCCCCGTTTGTCAGGACATCTCAGGAAAGAATGGCACTATATACAGAAAGTTTCCTAAACTGTTCTAGATATTCTGTATACAGACTTTAAGGTCCTTAGTCCTTATGGACCTTTCTCTACTGGGAGAAGAAAGGAGAAGATGTAGGATGGACTGTCTGAAACACTATTTGCAGCAGTATTGCACTTTCTGATAGTCTGATAGCAAGCGCTGCAGTTTGATGTGATAACAAACTCTTGAGAACAAACAGTTCTGAAAGCAAAAGCAGTGCTGTGCAGTTAAAAGGCTGTCCAGAAAGCCCAGTAGTATAACTTCAATTATAGGCTCCTGCACAAATTTTCCATGTAGCCATGGGCAGGTTGACTATTCTCATCCTGGTTTCCCCATCTTTCATGAAAGGCTCATATTTTCCTTCCTATATGTGATGTTGTGAGCAAAGAAATCTCTAATATTTCAGAAGTATTATTAAACTCCTCTGTGGAAAGGAAGATAGATATCAACAAGGAGACTGAGCCCTTGCTTTAGAAAGATGACTTGCAATTTCAAGGAAGAGGACAGAACATCAGAAGTCAAAAAGGCATATCGAAAATTTCGAGATGCAGCACTGATTCAAAACATGTTATGTTTGCAGCTGCTGGGGTGTGAAACTTCTTCCATGATGTGACAACCAGCATGAATTACTTTATTGCTCATAACAAATACAGATGGACAGATATCAGGGTGAAATGAAGGGCAGGGGCATTTGCAAACTGACAGGGAGAACCTTTCACCAAATGCTGCTTGGAAATAAACTGATCTTAATCAGCACTTCCTTTCTTTATCTTCAGAAAACCTTTAGAGCCAATATTCTCTAGTGGAAGACTAAAATGCTTTTAGGAAATGCATGTTGTTTTATGAGAATCTGTCTCTGTTTTAAGGAGGCTTTCTAAAATGTTTATATTTCTCTTTTCATCACAATTAACAAAGCTTGTGGCTTTTAAATTTACCATTTCAGTTTCAGTCATACTTCACTCCCTGTCCCTTCTCCAGTGTTATCAATCAAGAAATTTGTTGTTTCCAGCTTACATGTGCATGATGCATGTCTGTACTCCTTGTCTGATGATCGACATTGGTTTTGAGTCAGGATTGAGTTCCCTGCCTACTACATGCAGCAGCACCTGTAGCAGTGCTAGGCATCGAAAGTAGTCCCAAGGGGAAGATATTCACACATAGCTTTTAATATGTTCACATAAAAACAGGATGATGTCTCTAAAACAAGAGTGGAAAGATAATACTGCACTTTCAGCCACAAGTGATGGTGGTATGTAAATCCATGTAGTAAATCATTGAAAGTAGTGGTCATACAGGCAAGGTATTGAAAATCAACTTCTGTCTTATAGGTCTTACCGAACAAGCAATGTAATACCTTCCTCATTTGCACCCTGTAGGTGCATTTCTAAAGGTTTGGATTACTAGATGGTAGAGAAAGGGGATTCATAGTAACCCTGCAATCTGTGCACTTTTCTAGTGTGAGGATTTGGGCTGGCTATCCAGGAGGGGATCAGCTGTAGAACGACCAAGCAGTGCACATGAGTGAGCTAAGATAAGGTATGTTTGCTGTTGCAGCTCCCGGGTGGCTGCATAAGATTCAACAATGCATTTTTTTCACTCCTTCAGTTGATTAGGATTGTCATTCCATGATCTTGAGATGCTATAGTTACTCAGAGAGGCTTTCAAAGAAAGAGTGCAGAGAACCATTTATTTCATAATTGAAAAAGAAATAAAAGCAATTTCATAAAAGTAATAAATCCAAATCCAGGATGTGTTGAAATGTCATAAAGTGGTGTTACATGACAAAGTATGACCCTTTTTGCCTTTGCAGAATGTATTCAGGAAAGGTCTATCAGGGCAAATCAGACAAAACCCATCAATCTGTACTGATGAGCTATTTTTTATTTATATGGTGTCCCTTCCTCCTAAATTAGTAAAAGGAATTTATAAATTGCTTCATGTACACAATGCAAACCTTTGCTTTTCTGCTGTCCTTTCCATGTGGAACTCCACACCAACAGAACAGTAGTCATTAAAAGTACCACTAATAGGGGTTGGTGTCCAGACAATATAGGTTCCTGTTCCCTGGTCTTCTCCTCACTAAATACCCTGAGGGTAATGAACTGACCTTGGGAGAAGTAAGATTTCATAAAGAATTGCCATTTTGATTATTTCTTTGTGTGTGCTATTAAGTGCCTGTCAGAGGTTAGCTTTCTGTTTTTTCGAGAGATAATGTAAGCCCAGAGTTACAGTGCTGATGGATTTTGCTGTGTTGTTAGAAAGGGAATTTTGGTTCCATCGGGAAGAGAGGTCAAGTGAAACAAACCTCAGAATTTGGCCTAGAAATCTTGGTCCTGCTACTTTAACTCTTCTGTTCAATGCCAAAACTCACGCTGATTTTAGTGGGGTAAAACCTCTTCCTCAGTTTGGTATATAGAACGTGGGGATGCTTTGATCCCCTCTGGGACCTATGAAAAGTATCTCCATCAGCTAGTCACTGGGGTAGGTCTGAGGAGTTACTGACATCTTGCAGCTGAATAAATCTATTTAAATCCAGCTCATTAAAAGCAGACTGTTAGGATATGTTTCCGTTAGGATGAGCAAATGCTGTTACCTAGAGTCAGCAGTCACAAGTTAAAATGCAAGGGTTTTGCAGAGCTGACACAAACAGCTGTGCAGTGCTTCTGAGAGATGTGTTGTACTGTTACTGAAGATGACATAGGAAACAGTGAACAGTTTATGTTTCTACCTGTCTTTCAAATTGAGCCCAGGCCTTCATGGACAGAAAAGTAAGAAGACACTCTGCTGTCAAAGATGCTTTCTAACATTTACTGCTTGTTTTAGAAAGCACTCTCAGAAATTCCCAAGGAAGATGTTGCCTGCGGGAATTACAAGTTTCCACAGGAAACGATGCATTTTTTTTCTGCACTAGACCTCCTTGAACATATTCAGATACTTTGTGGGGAGTTTTTGTTTGTTTTTTTCCAGTGGGACAGTCACAAAATCTAAGATAAAAATACGAATTTTAAGACGTGTATCTTGTTAATGGGCCCTGGTCAGTGGTGGGCTGAAGTCCTGGTAACCTTTACACTGTCAGAGGGACTCCTTGGAAAAAAAAGTGACAATCCACAGAACCAGTTATAGTTTCAGTGGATGGGTTGCGTTCTGCAACTCGATCTTGCATAAGAACTTCTATAATGAACACAGCCCTGAGCAAACCTTCCACTGAATCGAATCGTTCTGTCCCAACACACTGATGGACCTTGTGGGCACTTAGCACTTTGGACAAGAAGCTTTATAAATCTCTGATGATGCTAACCTGTCACTGCTCACAAATTTTACTGAAGCTGCACTGCTGGTATTCATAGTACTTTTGGTCCACTGTGGGAAAAACGTAAAAAGTATCAAAACTGAGGAACAGCCAAAGGAGAAAAGCTGCTACGGAGACTGGTGGATGAGTCACAGTTTTCAAATCTTCCTGCCCCTGTCATGAGCATTCTGTTTCTCAAAAAAAAAAAAAAAAAAAAGAAAAAGAAATCATTGCTATGCAAAACAATTAAAAAAAAAAAAAATTCAAGAAGGAAACAAATGTTTGCTGAGCTGACTTGGCTGGAATTTTCCCTGCACATACACTCTTGACAGATCAGTGCTTAAACTTCCTATGTGTGCATGAGAGGGGATAGGGAATAATTGAATGCTAGTGAAGGTTGCCCCATCTGTTCCATTATTTGAGGGTGTAAAGATGCTCTTTAGCTCTCACAGTCCTTGTGATTTTGGTTGCCAGGTGGTCTCCCTGCCCAGATTTCACATCCAACACAGCTGTGAAGGTATTTTTTTTCCATCACATGCATCTTTTTTTGCAGAAGGCAAATATACGATACAGCCAGGTCTGAATTTAAGAGTTCCTTACACTAGGTCTTGGGGATCTTTTTCCTTTATTTATGAAATAAATACAGGTAAGCCCCATGGACCCATATCAGATGTAGTACTCTGTCCCTGCTTTCAGAGCACAAAACGCTTCACTCCAACCCCCTCCCCTTCTTCTCCTCTGAGTGCTCCCTGGAGCACTCAAGAACATCCTCATCAGAAATCATCTGACAAGATCACCATCTCAATACAAGACAGGGCAATAAAGTGTCCTATGCCCCAGCTGTGTATCTGCAGTTGTCTCTGACACCAGAGTATCTGCATGCATCACCATCCTGCAGGTACCAAGTTTCACACACACAGTGAGGCACTGTGTCCCAACTTACACATGGGAAAACGTGGCCCAGCAGTGCTCAATGAATTCCTAAAGATCATACAATGGGTCAGAACTAAGGTGATTCCTCATGTTTGCACTGGAGCAAAGCATAGAAACCACTTTGCATATCAGTTTGAGCAGGTGCATCTACTGGATGCAGTGGAGTAATGGATGGAGATGAGAAGGCAGGATTTAAACAGACATTGTGCTAGTACCCAGAGACTAGAAGTATTAGGCACAGCATTGCACTGAGGCTATTTTACAACTTCTAATTCCTGAGCAAATTGCCACAAGTCCCTTGGGTGCATCTGCACTGAGTTTCATTGTGTGGTGAAATGGTCACCTATTTTCTTTCTTTAGCCCAAGTTAGTATCTTAATTTAAGGAATGTCCTCCTTCTGAGCTATCCTTACTCAAATCATCCCATGCCAACACATAGTGAAGACCTTTCAGACCATAGCATTTTGGGTTAAGGTTGTTATGAACCTCTGATGATGGCTATTTACCACTGCTCACACACATGTTGTTTTTCTGTCTTCCCACTGCAGATCTGCGCAGGATGACAGCTGGCTTCATGGGCATGGCTGTGGCCATCATCCTCTTTGGATGGATTATTGGGGTGCTGGGGTGCTGTTGGGATCGAGGCCTTATGCAGTATGTGGCAGGGCTTCTCTTCCTCATGGGAGGTAAGTGTGTTGGTGTTTGAAGAAGAAATGTGTTTTCCTTGTTGTTTTAACGTTCCCTATTTCCATGTGCCCCTCCTTTTCTAAGTCACTGAAAACATTTCCAGAATTGTTTTAGGTGATCTGGACTTGGTTTCATTCCAGACTCCTTCTGGTGTACATCAAGGATAACCCAACTGTCATTACATGTTGTTTTCATCACAAAGCAGTGCTTATAAGTCACAGGGCTGAAAAGGGCCTTTTGAGTTATTTAGTCCAATGCTCTGTTGCTGCAAGTAATACTATCACCCTTAAACATAATGGGCTTAATTAAATTTATAGATTATGCAGATGTTATTCCCACAATTATCATATTTCATACTGAGCCACATTGATAACTAGAAATTGTGCTCAAAGTTTTAACCTGTATGCGTTCCTTGTGAGTTGTTTGTGAGTCAGATGTACCCTTTAGTTTACGTGTCTTTCTACTTTCTCCGGTGTACCTGTGAAAAGCAGTGGTATCCTCTGTTTTCCTTTTCGACTTTACATATGCTGTTTCTTGTAGGCTTTTCTCTGTAAAACCCAGTATCAATCGAGCAGCCCTCTCTGCCACCTGTTCTTGTTTGTACTTACACTTCTCAAACACGGATGAGAAGGACCATTACCAAACAAGGTCTGATCAATGCCTTGTATGAGTGATGTGATGGCTCCCCATCTCTGCTGGAAATCCCTTGCCTGAAGTATTCTGGGGTTTTATTTGCCTTCTTCATGCCGTGTCACACCAGAGATCCTCAGTCATCCTTCAGCTGGATAATGCATACAGGCCTTTCTTTTTCTTAATTCCTGGTGATGATCTCCAAGTTTCAAGCAGAGATTCTGTTTATTGCTCCTGAGACACATGCCCTTGCACTCTGTGCTTTTGAGCTTCTTCCTGTTTCAACTACACCAGCCCTCAAGGTCAAAATACATCTCCCCTGTAATAGTTCAGACTTTCTTACTACAGATGCCATGCAACTTCCTGCCATCAGCATGTTTCGAGGCACACTTGAAAAGAAGGGTGTGAGAGTTAAGTCCCAAATGTAGTGCTGACAAAGAGAACAGCCATACTTCTCTTTCCTCTGCTGGTGGTTTTTGTTTCTGGACTTTTGCTCCTCAGGCAGAGCATCACTTCAACACATTTTGTTACCTGTTCATCTGTACTGTGGTGTGACACAGCTATGTGTGTGAAATACAGGAAAGCTTCTGTAGTCTCAGAAGAGGATTTAAGCGCTCGAGTAACAAGTGTTTATGTTCCAGTGTTGTTGGTGTTGGTGACATAGACATTAGCGCTCTCACTGACCACGAACACATATGAAATCTGTTAGTATCTTGTGCAAGCACACACTGGTCTATGTGTGGATGTCTTGTGGTGGGTGTTGATACTTTATGGGCAATGGGTCTGCTAAATTAGCTTGGTATTTCTTATGTAATTAAAAGCTTAGTTTGCACAGGGGGGCTATTTTGCTTTAATATGTTCAGATATCTGTGTGATTTTAACTTACTACAGCACAACATTCAGATTAAAACATTAGGACTATATTAATACAGAAAACTTAAACTTATTAGAAACTAGCTAAGTCTTGTTTACTAACTGTAAACTATCACTATATATGGCAGAGTTTCTTGTACAGCTGCAGAGATTACATTTGGGCTTAATGTTATTTGTTTGTCAGTAATTTGAAAGATAGCTGATAAAAGTTTTCAGGTGAAACAAGACCCAGTGTAACCATGCATAATGGGATGGGTCACCCATAGCTTACAAAGCCATCTTGGTATGCTCAAACAATACACATTTCAGTGGAGACAGATCCAAGGTCATGCAACTGGGAACAAAAAGTGTCAGTCATCCTTGCAGAATGAGAGGCTGCCTCTCAAAAAGCAGCAGCTCTGAAAAGGTCTTTGGGATCATGGTTGCTGGGATCATCCAGCTGCACAGCAGCTCTCAGCACAATACAGCTGCTAAATGTGCCAGTTTTGCTGGGAATATACAATAAGAGCATGAGGTGGGGTTATCTCTGGGCAAAGCAAAACTATTTCTGGACATCCTAATCTGGTGTTTCTGCTAAAGAAGGATGTGGAAAGATAGGGAGAGGTTTGCAGAAGAGCTACAAGAATGATTCAGGGTCTCAAAACCAAGAAAGGCACACCATGCCACAGAAAACCCATTGCTTGAAACTATTTAGCAGAAGGTTTATAATTGACTTGAATGCAGCGTGGAAGTACCTATACAAGAAGCCATCTGATAGTAGCATGCTCTTTGCATAGACAAAATAAGAAGATACAGCAGTTGGAATCTGAAAGTAATTGTAATGAGAGGCACCAGATTATTTTATCTACCAAATTCCATCAAGATGTGTGATTTTTTAATAAAGATGTGTTGGGAGGAGCTCAAATGTATTTTCTGCTTCAGGATAGACACATGGGTCAGGTTTACAAGAGGTTACTCTCTTGTTTTTGCACAACTCAGTGGCAACTTCTATTGTTTTCCTGATTTCTTTCAACAGCAAAGGTACATAAAGTTACATCTACAAACTGAAACAGTCAGTTAATAAAATACACAACTACTGCCATCTAATCTAAAAGTCAGTAGCTATCATTGTTTGCAGGCTGTGTCATGTTACATAGGCAATCCTTCCATAGCCAACAAACCTTTAAATTGGAATCTTCAAGCTGGATGGTGCTCAAATACAAAGCTGTTACTTCTGTCACGACATAAATGCTATCATCATATTGTCGTATTGGTCCTCAGAATGCACAGAGTGCCTTTTAGTTGTACCTAACTTTGTCTCTGGTCCAATTATAGAAAAAATGCTTTGGGAGGCAGGCTTATGACAATTAACCTAATTGCAGATGAGACTGTGTTAAGTTGGTAGCTGTATAATCAGCCTGAAATCTAACTTTCGCTTCCATTTGTAACACGACTTGTCTTGTCTCTGTGTGTAGCATTTCCTCTATTTTAATTTCTAGACAAACAGCTCTTCTGTAATGCTTAAACACTGCTGGCTTACCATATCTATGGGTTTTGTCCCATATTGCCCATAATTCTTTGAACAGGAAATCTCAGTGGAGCACTGAGAAATGTGCTGTGATAATCTAACAAGACCAGACATGGTTTCCTTAGACCTCTAGTTCTTTATTATATTTACTGAACTGTATTCTTGCTAGCCTGTGTGGCAGTGCCTAATAAGTACTTGTTGTAGTGTGCTTGATGTAATTTCTCAAGCAAATTACTGAAATAAGTCATTAGCAAAATGCAGGCCGTTATCTGGTATTAGCTCATCTGGAATCCAGGACATGTAAACTGTGATTTAGAGTGTGGTTTACACTGTTATTTGGCATGTTTTGTAACAAGTTAAAAACGATTAATAATTCATCTTTTCTGTTTAGTCCAAATGTATCTGTATCAACAGCAATCACAGGTCTCTTATGGCTTCCAAAGTTCGTTTGCATAATTTTCTGTATTTACTGCAGATTTCGTACTTGGATTCCTTATCTTGAACAACAGCATTTGCCTGACCACAGTAGGAATTTTTTTCAGTCCCTTATCTTGTACAGAGCCAGATGGATACTGCAAATTATGTTTAGTGGATTTGACCTCATTTTGCATGATGGGACTATTTCCTAGCCTCCTTTTATCCTGCAAGGTGGGAGAGTTTCTCAAGAGTTTCTCCATTTGGAGTTGTTGTTATTCTTCACTAAGACTAGTTCATTTTATGCATCTTATTTGAGACCATTTAATTCTATTACAGAAGCGGGTCATACTCAAATTATACATTACTCCAAGCACATCCTCTTAACAGCTTCTTGCATTTTCTCTACATGCAAATGCATTAAATGATTGAAAATCTGTGCACCAGTAAAAGCTCCATACTGGGCATGTCATCCAGTAATTTTGCAACTTTATAATAATTCTGGAACCTTAGAAGCATCTGTAACACTGCTTGCAAATGTCAGAATCCTAGTTCTATTGCCAGGTCAAGGCCGATTTCAGTTTTACTTCCAGCTTCATAAACCTGGGATGCTGTGAACTGTCACACTGGCAACTGTTCCAAGGCAAATTCCTATATCTTCAGGAATCCCTTCTTTTAGTTCTTCATCAATGTGTTTAAGAATATTTTCTGTACGATCGTAAGGTCCTTTCTAACCCTAACCATTCTATGATTCTATGATAAATAGTCAAGCTATATATCCATCTAAACCATTGGGTTTTCCACCAGCTCTGCAGTACGTTCATTCACAGCTTTTTCTTGCTTCAGCATCTCAGATTTTGCTAGGTTAATTTTCTTTCCACAACCATGCAAATTGAATCTTACCACGCCTTCTATTATTGTACTTGCTTTATAAAATTAGCTTTTAAAGGCAAACTCTGATAGTCTGTTGTTTTCCCAGTTCAGCTCTGATTTCATTTCAGTCAGCTGTTTTGAAACATCATGTGGCTTGCTTTATTTCTGGTTTTGAGGGCTGGGCTGACTTTGTACCTAAATGTTCCAAAACTCCTTTCCTCCACATCAGTGCCTGCCACAAGGAAAGTGGGGTGAAAGGGCCGCCCCATGGTGGCATGCTCCAGTGTTTTGGCAGTGGTTGCCTTCTCCCCTTCCCTAGCCGGTGCACCTCCACGATGAACTGCTGTCTCTTGTCCCAGCTGGAAATATAAAGTGGCACTTCCAATATCTTGCTGTGGTACTTGCTTCATCACAAAATTATCCCTGGCCAAAGCTACATCACTTGCTTTTGTAGATGTATTAGAAGACCAACAAAGAATGCCATTATAAAATGGCCCTTAGTAGAGCTCTGTCCTTCAGATGCACATTCATGTATTTCCTTTTGTAAGTCTGTAATTTGCATTGAGAACACATTTCAGTGAAATAGAGAGGGGGTTTACTGCATGCCTAACAAGGCAGCCCTTTGGGGAGAGAATACTGCGTTGTCTTATTTTGTTCCAAATTTACTGCAAATAAATGCAATAAATCATCTCTGCACTTGTT